TGGACTTCAGGAGGTTCCTTCTGCTGGAGCTCTCTGAGCTCTCAGCTTTACTATGAACCCGTATCCCTTGTTGCTAGGTGGAGGCTTTCTAAGTGTCTGTCTGAGTTACTGTAAATTGCATGAAAAAAAATAAGGTTTATGATCCTACACCACTATGTCATCTTTCAAAAGCCTCCCCTTAAACCAATAACAAGGTGGATGGATAATAGTCACAGATTATTCTCGTACAATTCTTACTCTGATAAATGAATAGGGGAAAGTGGGGTAAAAGATCATAAAACCCCAAATTCTTTACTTCTATCCCTCGGCAAAGATACCACTCCTGCTAGACCTGGAGTGGTATCTGAACTCTCTTCAGAGGACAGAATTACAGAATGGTTTAGGTTGGAAGGGACCTTAAAGACCACCTAGTTCCAACTCTCCTGCCATGGGCAAGGACACTTCACTTCCCACCAGACCAGGCTGCCCAAAGCCCCATCCGGCCTGGCGTTGAACACTTCCAGGGATGGGGCATCCACAGCTTCTCTTGGCAACCTGTGCCAGTGCCTCACCACCCTCTGAGTATAGAATTTCTTCCTTATATCTAATCTAAATGTACCCTCTTTAAGTTTAAGGCCATTCTCCTTTGTCCTATCACTGCACTCCCTGACACAGAGTCCCTTCCCAGCTTTCCTGCAGGCCACATGTAGGTATGTGAAGGCTTCTGTGAGGTCTCCCTGGAGCCCTATCTTCTTCAGGCTGAACAACTCCAATTTCCTCAGCCTGTCTTCACAGCCTGTCTTCTTCTGGACTCACTCAATCTAATAGGTTCATGTCCTTCTTGTGCTGGGGGCCCCAGGGCTGAAGGCAGGGCTCCAGGTGGGGTCTCACGAGAGCAGAGCAGAGGGGGAGAACCCCTTCCCTCACCCTACTGGCCACAATCCTCTTGGTGCAGCCCAGGACACGGCTGGCTTTCTGAGCTGCAAGTGCAGATTGCTGACTAATGTTGAGCTTCTCATCCACCAGCACTCCTGGGTCCTTCTTATCAGGGCTGCTCTCAGTCCATTCTCCATCCAGCCTGTATTTGTGCTTGGGATTGCCGCAGCCTGGGATGCACAGCGTCTGCTGGGCTGGTGCGGGACTGTAAGCGCTTGCTGCCCTTTCGCCAGGGCATGCCCTCAGTGACGTGTCACAGCTTCTGACCCTTTGGCTGTGCTCAGCCTCTGCTGTGAGCAGTGGCATGTTCAGCGGCTTCTAACATCAGAGCCACCTTACCGTGCTTGCTGTGGAGCCTCTTGCCAGTACCTGCATACTCAGCAGGTCACAGCGGTTCCCCCATCACCTCTTCTTGGGCCTCACCTTACCCTTACAATTTCTATTCATCCGATTGCCTCATGCACATACTTTTCTTTTCCTTCTTTCCTTCTTTCCTTTTTTTTTTTTTTTTTTTTTTTTAAAAGACCTGCCCTCAAAAGGTTATGTTCCCATAATATTCACAAGTCCCATGTGTGACTGCACCCTCTGCTCTTACCCAGCCTCATTGCTGCAGAGGTCATTGTTGTTTTATTTTTATTTTTCATTGCCAACATGATTGCCAAGTTGGGGAGTCATTTTCAGTCTTAAAGACAATGGTGGGGAGGAGCTCAAAGGTGTGAAAATAGGAAAAGGTAAGTGTTTTTGGCACTCTGGTCCAATGCCACAGTGGGATGGACCCACTGCTGATGAGGAAAGAGGGCATTTCCTTGTGTTCAGAGGGTGGAAAGTACTCCACTTACACACGTGGTTGGCTGTGTGGGTTATTTTCAGACTTTATTGTGGTCTGCAGCTTGCTAGACCCATAAAAACAGTACCTCGTGTTTTCTGTACAGCTAACTGCTAATTACCAGCAACCATCACTTACAGAACAAAACCAGGCAGCCGTCCAGACTACATGTTGCTACCTGTGACAGCAAGCAAATCATTTAAAATTCATTGATAGCAAGGGGATGGGAGGGTGGAAGCCACCTGCCTTTCCACACCCATCGCTAAGTACTAGGACAGTCTTGTGGGAGCTGGAAGCTGCATCAAGAATACTAGAGGTAAACTCCTCTCCTACTCCTGAAAAAGGGTGTGCCCTTTGTAAAGCTCAGATCCAGTGCAGCTTTGAAAAGAGTAAATGGGAAATAGCTTGTCCTAGGGGTGCCTGACTCGCACATTGATGTGGCTTCTTGCAAAAGTGAAGATTAAAACTGCTGACTGGTCTGCTTGAAAATCCTTTGCACTTAAGCGTGCAAAGAAAAGAGCTTTGGACAGTTTCTGCTTTGAGATAAAATTTTGGAATATGTGGAGACTAATAGGTGCCACCTACTTTTCATGCCTTCTTTGCAAGGTTATTCTGTGTCTCCTCAAACATCACCTACCAGAGGTTCTGGAAGATTCCTACCAAAAGATGGATTTCCAGGCAATTATTATTTTTTCCAGATCACTTCTAGTTAGTATAGAAGAGAAAAGGAAAACTATTCCACACCAACCAATTCTTAGTTCTTTCATGCACTGTTATAATCATATTCAGCAGGATTTTTTTCTGAAATTCTTTATTGTATTGTATTATATATATTTTTTTGTCTGAGCTACATTTGTTTCGGAAGACCACTGTTGGATGGAGAGTGTTGAGGCTAGATGACAGGACATCTGGACCCTCTGTGTTACTTTTATGTATTGTTTTATGTATTGGGTTGATGTTAAATAGTGTTGCTCCAGAATCTGGATAAATAAGAGAGGTGGGCTGAGGCCCGCATAGCCAGGGCATAAAAAATCATACAACACTTGCAGACAGCAGTCTCTGCTATACAGTGAGTAGCTGCAGTGCAGCAAATGCATCCCTTGTGCACAGCCACTGATATCAATGGATTTAAATAAAAGATGTGTTTGGTTCGTCAGGTGGAGTTGAACCCTTACTGATGTGCTCTGTGATCCAGGATCACAGGCTGCAGACAGTCACCATCATCTGTGCACGTCCCAGGCAGGCTGCAGGACCCCGGGGAGTGGTACAAGGCCCTCAGCTATCTCAGGTGATGCAGGAGCAGGCAGAGGGACAGATTCTTACCCCCCATCTTATCCCTTTTAATTAGTGAGAACTCCAATCAGCTTATTAGGGACTGAGGGATTTCTATTTCAAGTACTGGAGGTGGGGGTCTGCCTGTAGTTTGCAGTTCTCCAAGATGTGTTAAGATGGCAGACACAACCCAGGGCCCCACAAATGGTTCATTCTGTCAGAAGAAGGTAAGTTGTCTTGAGCAGCCTGTAGCACAGAAATGTAGTTACCTTATGATCCCCAAATGGATTTCTGTGACAAATTCTATTTTGCCATCAATGAACCTATTTCACCATGAATTGTTTCTCCAGACTCCATGTTTGTACAAACTGAGGTTGTGTGTCAGTCGCTGAAATTAGTCTCCAGGTCTTTTGCATCTCAGGAGCTCTTGGTGCAGCTGTGCAGAAATGGAAGCACTAAAAATTAGGCCTGCAGTGTGGAAATGCATTTAAGTTGAGCTTTAAATATAGGAATACATGGCTGATGCCAGACAGTACCTCATCTTGTGGCAAGTCTTCCCAGGTGCTATAGGTGTGGAGTACTTCTTCACAGGCTGTGAAAGATGGAATTAATTTCCTTTCCTCATATTAATCAGAGGAGACCAGGTCAAACCGTTTCCTCCACGCCACCCTTGACCAAGAGGAGACTGGCTGTGCACCAGCAATGAGCTATTTCCAGCTCATGTAGGAGTTCAGAAGAGGTAGGATTTTACTTTCCACTGAAGGGATGATGAACACAATGGAAAATCCTGCTGCGTTAGGTCAGAGGTATTTTATTGCAGAGGCAGATGGACTGTATTGCTGGAGGAACACTGTGAGGATTTCTGGCTCGTGGCCGTGCCCCATCTTACCCCTCCTCTTCTCTAAATGCGAGCTTGGCAAGAGCTGGCTTTCTGATGTGCCAGGACTCCCTCGGGATGTGATGGTTAGCCATGGCTGTGAGGGGAGGGGAAAGGCACGGTCATCCTCAGTTGAGGCAGCTTTGCTGGGATGGAGGATGCCTGGAAAATTTGTAACTGTGGATCTGTTTTTAGCTGCAGCAAGATGAAAGGCATACTTTATGAAAGCAATACATTGCAGTGTTACACGTGCAAGTCAGGAGAGAGACAGCATGCATATGAGTGCAATGCTTGCTTGTTTGTATGAATTATTTTATGTGTATAGGATCAAATGTTTGTTACTTATGCAAAGCTTAATAACAGGTCTCGAGACCATGCTATCTGGCTGTGAGCCAAACAGTGGAGGTGTAATATACTTTGGTATTTTGCTGTGGTTTTCTCTTTTGTTGACATTTTTTTAATGTACACCCTTCTCCAAGGTGAGATGCAGGATGCAGAGGTAGAGCTGTGGTAGTTGAGATGATTTAAGGGTAGCAGGGAACCAAGATTTAATAGACTAAAAATACTCTGTCAGATCAAGTGTCATAGCTGGAAAGTTACCGAGTTTTCCAACTCTGTAACCCTCTGTCTTGTCTTTTTCCCAACTGAGCCTTCCCAGATGGTCCAATACAGGACACCACTTCTCCCAGCAAGTCTTCTGCTCTGCCCACAGCTGGACAGGACCGAGGTGTTTCTGCACTGCTTACGAATCTGGTGACAGAGTGAAGTTAAGATATCAATTTCTTGGATCGGTAATCCAGATTGAGCCTTTAAAAATGATTTTTCCCCTTGAAGCTCATAACTATCCTTGCCACACTATCATCTGAAGTGGAATTGTGACTGCCCGTCTTTCTAAAACCTACTTTCTAACTCAGCCACAAAATACAGGTTTGATTGCAGATTAGATGCACAAAGTGAGATTATGCAGTCTACCTTGTGCCAGAGACCAATTATATTATCAAAGCAGTTCATTGTGACTTTTAAAAGTTTGTGGAAAATGGCCAGCTGTTTTTCAGTTATGCAGGATGGAATGTGACTTAGAGTATTGTTTCTCTATTACATCTCTTGCAGACACATTACGCTGGCATATCCAACTTGATTGTGCTCACAGTTTTCCTGAGAGGCAGTGGCTTGCTGACTTGGACTCTTACAGATGAGAAGAAGTGGAGAGCAGCTCCTTGCGTGGTACAGACTACAGACGAGGATGGCTGCAGCTGCAGTGCTGGCAGTTCCCATCTGGATGAACAGTCTGCTCCCTTGTGCTGGGGGCACAAACTGCATGTTTGCAGGGTTCAAGGAGCTCACATGGGCATCTGAGCCAGAGCCTCAGCTGGGAAAATTGCTCTTTCAGGTAAAGTGTAAAGTCTGCTTTTAGCCATGTGTCTATCCACATCTTCATTGTCCCTGAAATTTTGACTTGCACTGGGTTTTGACTGCTAAGTATTACACTGTAGCACAGCTTCACTGAAGTTTAAGTCCTTAGTTTGGGGTCAAATTGCCCTCTGCTAAATTAACATTACATTCATAGCAAAGCATGAGCATTGCATGCATAGATACACTGTTCTACTCCTTCTGGGAGCAGTTATTGTCCTCTTCCCGCAGGTATTATAAAGAGAGATTACTCATTAGGTCAGGGGAGGGCAGTTCTGTATTCCATGCACTTTTCTCAAATCTTTGAATGAAGAATTAAACATATTCCTTTAACAGAATTCAGCTAAAACTTGTAGGAGAAATTAGACAGTTCTTTTCTGTTATCCTCATAAGTCCTTGCCTCCCATCATGGCTCATCCAAAATGCATCTCTGTTCAGTTCAAGCTCCCTTTCTCCCACTGACTCCGTTACACTCCTTCTCCAGATTTTCCTTGCTCTCCGTGCAGTTTGGAGTCTGCCGCCATCACAGGCAATGCCCTGTGTGACCCCCTCTCCCCACACCTCTTCACACATTCCTTTCTTATCTGGCTTTTGCCCTGCTCCAGATTCCCTCCCGACCATAGGCCATGCGTGTTTACAGATCCCAACTTTATGCCTTCTAACAAAACTGGCATTCATCCTGACACCGAGTCATATGACCTTCATCTTTTTTTTTTTTTTTTTCCCAAAACCCTCTGTATATGCATGAAGCCTTTAAACAGTGGCATCTGAAATGTTTCTCCATCTTCTCCATGTTTGTCTGCTTATATGATCAATGTTTATGTTATGTAGTTATTATGCTCTTCTGAATCTGTTCTAGCTGTATTTTGACTAGACTGCGGTGACCTTCAGGCAAAGACTCTGCTCTGCATGTTTATACATCACTAAATACTCTGTTGATGCTCAATAAATAAGAAAATTACACATCTTTGAAATTACTTTTATGTGAGGAAGCAGCTTAATAAAAATTTGCAGAGTGAGAAATTGCCCCCCACCCCTGCCCACCTTTGGAGAGGGGTCAATGGGAACTCAGCCACAGGACATTTAGGGCACAATTTTGCAATTATTGTTGCCCCATTGTAGGTTTAGATTATTAGTTCACTTTGTCCTTTTTATATATATCATGTATTGTCTTTGTAAAGTTCCCTTGCTTTCTTAAGCGTTGCAGATCTGAATGACTTTCGGGTTTGTAAACCTGTAAATATCAGTACATTTTTGCCTGTTAAAATGATCTGACCTCAGTGAAGCTTATTTTTTATTTTTATTTTTTCCAGAATGGGTCACGTGGGGCAACACCACCCCCTTTTAGGGGCGATACTCAGCTTCTGGGAAAGCAGCTGCTGAAGTACACTGAATGCGTGCTGCCATAGTGCTCATGTTTAATGCCTTGTGCTGTTGCAAACTTCAGGCCTGCAGAAACCCCATTGTTTATTGATGGGAGAGGCCCCACCCCAGCTGTAATTAAAGCCAAACTCATGTCATAAATTTGCTGGCATCCCAAGTGAAGCTGGTGTTCCCTGAGAATGAAGGTTATCTCTTTCTTTTGCTGCTGTTCCTTTGAACTTCCTGTGGTCAGGGAATCCTAGTGTTTTAAACTAGAAAAACAATTATGAAACCATCCCTGCTCATCTGGCCAGAGTTCATGTCTAATTAAATTTAACAGGAGTCATAATTTTAAGAGTGATTTCTCAAAAGCTTTATAACTAAAGACAATTAAGGCTTGAGAGAGAGAGCGCGAGACAGGGAGGGGAGAAAAACAGAGGCACTCCTTGGGGCAGGGCACTCCATGAGTATTAAACAGCCGTGACTCATTCCTGCCTCTAGTCCCAGCAGAAGAAATACCTTTTGAATAGGTTCTGCCTGCTAGATAAAAACTTGTTTGCTGGTGCAAAAATCATACAGTGCATGTTAGAACAAGAACCTTGATGGGCTATTCCCATTAAAATAATTACACAGAAATGGACTTTTTTTTTCCGATCTGTTAGTATAAATTGGGTGCTTTTTTTTTTTAATTATTATTTTTTAGCTGTGTCAAGGTCTGCAAAAAGAGGGGAGAAAGGGGAAGGAAATGCAGACCAAAAAAATGAATGAATTAACTCAGTTGTCCTTGTGGAGCAGGATGTTTTTATTTTTATTATGTATGAAATGTATAGTAGTATGTATGGAACAAATCCATCAGCCCATTTGACAGGCAAAACCTGAACTTTTTGAGGACATGTGAAGCTAGAAAGGAGACTGCAGCAACGTAGAACACCACCATGGGGGGAACTCTAGCTCTTACTTGTGTATTTATTCTAAAGCAGCTCTGTATGCAGTACTGAAGCCTGACAGGCATCCTCTGAATCCAGGGAATCCCACAGGCTTCTCAGAAGCGATGAAACAGAGGACAGTGTCTCTACATGTGAAGGACCCAGCCTTCCATGAACATTCAGAAAATCAGGTTTTATGACAGAGGATTGTAGGGAAACCTCCTGCTGGTACTATGGGGTGATGTGAGGATTGTAGAGGAAACAGTGTTTTCACCACAAAATTGGCTCAGAGCAAGGTAGGTTGGAGCAGTGGTTAAAACGGAGCCAGCCAGCCGACACAGGTGTACCGTCATTACGGTGTTGGTGGAGACGGGCTGATGCTACAGCAGCATTGGAATGCTTCGATGGGAGGCCTCAAGGCCTGCTCTGCACCTACGCAGGGTGCTGCAGGCCTGTCGTGCTCCTCGTAAACTCACTCCGGCAGCTGTGTCCACACTGGGGACATGAGATCCTTACAGAGGGTGGGGAGGCGGCGGCAGGACGGATTGCTGACATCATGCGTCCCTTCCGTGATTATCATCTGCCAGGCGGAGCGTGCCCACACTGCAGCTGAGGTGCACCTGCAACAGGGGTGGACTCGGCTGGGCTGCTTTCAACGGAGCCAGCTTGGGTGGTAATGACAGCGTGACGACAGCAGCGCAACATCAGCACGGAGCTGCCCCAGCCTGCTCGGGACCTTGGAAGCATATTTTGGTCACCGACCACGCTAACTCCTTGCTGCTGGAGTTTTGCTGCTCCTGGTATCTGTTCGGAGCTAACGCACAGCTCCTGAATGAGCCCACAGCTGGGCAGTCAACCCCAGACAGAGGATCTAGTAATGGTCCAGTGCAACCACGTGTGGGCCCTGCCTCTTTCTGGTAGTCATCTAGCCAGAAAAGAAACACATGTTCTCCCTTTAAAATAGGACCAGTTGTGGTATATCTGCAGGTTTCTTTGATCACCTCCTTGCAGTACTGTTTTTTCCCTTCCTGAAAAATCAAAGGTTTCAGCCATTCAGTGCTGTAGGTCCTCTGCCTGCTCAGCAGCTTCCCATGGAGCAGCTTTCCAGCTGCCCTGTAAAAAAAAAAAAAAAAAAAAGCTTCATCTATTCTAGATGAAGCAACACAGCAAAACGAGTATCTTTGTACGACAAGGCTAAAAGCATACCTACGTAATCAGTGGGCTGCTGAGGAAGTAAACCCTGATCACCTAGAGAAGAAAAATCTGAGTTACCATCTGGTAGAGCATCTTGTGTCCTTGCAGCAAGGACTTGGGAATTTTGTGCCCTCTGGGAGGGTGCTCATTGACTTTCTCTGTGCAGGAGCCTGGGGGAAAACCAGTATGTATATGGTATGGACAATGGAGCCCAGGAGTGAAACAGGGAGTGAACCACAATGATATTCTGCATGTATCCTAAGGATGATGCTTGGTAGTTTTACAATGTATATGGTTGTGAATGATGGGATGATGAACAAGAATCATAAATTGTGAATCAATTTACTTTTAATTTATTCCTAAGAACTTAGCTTTTTTTTTCTTTTTTTTTCCTCTCCTTGCTAATGTTAGCTTAGCTATTAGGTTGTCTCATATCATTCCATAGGATTCCTTGGAGATGCTAAAATACAGGGTAGATTTTGGGAAAGTATTTCATCAGTATTCTTTCTGGGAGATTTATGGTGAGCTCTAATTTGTGTTTTAATGTGCTTGAATGTGGAAATAGCTAACACGCACACCTATATCCCTTATTCTTCTATTACTGAAACAGTGCTTAACAATGCTGACACCTCCACCTTCTCCTAAAAGCAATTCAGTGAGAATTAACTTTAAAAAAAAAAAATCCTAGGGAAAGTATTGCCTTCAGGCATCCAAAAAGCAAAAGTATCGGGATTTCCACTGAGCCAGCTAGAATTGTATGTGTGCTGCTGAATAACGAAGAAGGTGATTTTATGCCCTTTGGAATAAGTAATATTCCAGGGCATGTATGGTGTTCATGCTTCTATCAAACCTCCATGAAGGACAGTGGTGAATGCTTTGTTACATGAACAAGAAGAGGGTGCTTGGGAATGGCCAACGTGGATCTACCAAGATTAAATCATGAACCACAGGTCATGTAGGCTTTGTGAGACCTCTAGAGGTATCTTGTCCCACCCATGTCCAAGGTAGAAGAGGCTGCCCAGGGCTTTGTCCAGTTGGGAGTTGGGTTTTGAGTATCTCTGAGGTGGAAATTCCACAGTCTCTCTGGGCACCTGCTCCAGTGTTTACTCTTACGGCAGGTTTATTTTCTCTAGTATTGAGTGGGAACTCCCCCTGCTTGACCAACCTGTTTTTTTTTTTTTTTTTTTTTTTTTTTTGATAAGGGAAGAACAGTGGTTGTTATCTGCCTTGGCTTTAACTTAGCTTTAGACATGATCTCCCACAGCATCTTTGTATCCTAGCTGAAACATTCTGGTCTGGACAGATGGATTAATAGATGGGTAAAAAACTGAAAAAACTCTCTTGTTTGCTGAGCTTAAAGGGTTTATGTTGTATTTGGAGGCCTTTACATGCCAGAATAGATACCAGAGAACTCTGCTTGTATCTGATTTATTATCTTTGTTAGTGATGTGTAGGTTGAACAACAACTTGCACTCAGCAAGTCTGCAGCTGACACCAAACTGGGGAGACAAGTCATCATGCTTCAGGGCAGGGCTGTCACTCAGAGGGACCTGGACAGCTGGGGGAATGGGCTACCAGGAACCTTATGAAGTTCTCCAACTGGGATGGGATAGCTCCTTGCAACAGCTCTGCACAAAAGGTCTTAAGGATGCTGATGAGCAATAAGCTACACATGAGCCAGCAGTGTGCTTTGGCAGCAAGGAAAATCAAGAGCCTGAAGCAGACTGGGCTGTATCAGCAGAGCACAGCCCCTGTACCGAGAGGAGTGGTTATTGTGATTACCCCCCTCTGTGCAGTATTCAATAGATCCCATTTACAGCATTGTATCCAAGTTTCAGCCCTGGTCCAAGAACTAAGTTAATAAACTTGCTGCTAAGCCCCTCAGATGGTAGGGATTTGGAGATCAGCCTCATGAGGAAAGGCTGAGGGACCAGTGCTTGTCCAACCCAGGGATGAGACGTCTTTGGGGGGCTAAGAACAGCCTGCCGGTACATATGAGGCAATTATCAGAGCCAACAAAGCTCTTCACAGTGGCACAATGACAACAGACAGTGGGCATAAATTGAAATGAGAGGGTTGAACTGGGTATAAAGAGGAACCTTTCTTCATGAGGACAACAAGGAGTGGAACAGGCTGCACAGTTAGGTTGTGCAGGCACTATCCTTTCAGGTTTTCAAGACTTCTCTGGACAAAACCCTGAGCAACCTGGCCTGATCTCATAGCTAAAGAGCTTTCTGCAGGAGTTTAACCACAGACCTCCTGAGGCCAGCCTGAACCATTCTGTGATTTCTCGCTCAAACTGGGAAGGGAGACTTTATCACTTAAGTTATTCATCACCTAGAAGCCCCGGTGTCGTCCCAGTGAAAGTAAGAACTTCTCGGTGTTGGTCATAGTTTGCACAGAAGACAAAAGTCCTGAAAAACTTATGGTCTTTTGAGATGAGACAGGCAAAGCGTAATAGCAAAAATATAACTGACCCAGGTGCTGGCTGTTACACGAGAGTCCCTTTCTCCTCCTGCCCAGCTCCACCACCCAGGAGCTCCCCTCAGGCGCAGTGCATCGTACCACTTCCCACACACCAGAGGCAGGTGGAGTAAGCACCAGGTGCTTCTGCCTCTCTCAAAAGATCCAGGTCATGGTACCTCTGGTTCTTGTGTTAATCAGAGTGTGTTAGCTACAGAAGTACAAGGAAGCACAGTGCTACAGCTACCCAGTTTATAATTACTATTTTATTGCCTTCTTGCAGACAAAACTGGCATTTTTTCAAGGGTATGGCTAGATTCTGTCCTGGAGGAGGGGACACACCTGGCATGAGACCGGCAGCACTGGACTTAGTTTAAATTCACACTGTGTTTAACAGAGTAGTGTGGACAAGTGAAATTTCTGATTCAATTGAGGGAAATCATGTCTACAGTGTATAACACAGTGTGGTCTTCCAGTATCTGTACAGGTGTTTTGAGGACGACTTAAGCACATTTAGTTTGCTAAGATGTGTGCACAAGGAGCCATTGTTACAGTAAGATGATCTTGTTTTGTACAAAGTCATTTGGAGGTGATTTCCCAGGAATCCACGCAGAAAATAAGACCTCAGAACTGTTCCAACAAAGTTAATGTTAAACAGTCCTTTTTTTTCCCCGTTTCCTGTCAAAGTCTGTATCATGTTGATATTGGTCTTGCTGGCTCTGATGGTGCTAATTATGCAAAAGATTAGCATTTTTATGGAAACAGCTGACTATATCCTAAATGAATCTAGTTCTTCCTAACACAGAAATGGATCTGAACAGAAAAAGAGTAAATCAAGTAATAATTTTATTTCCTACATGTCTGTCTCAGAGCTACTTAGAGAGAGAAGATACTTTAGATACCCACAAACCTGTCTAAATCACATGGAGAGCTGTGGAGAAAGCATTAATGCAAAGTAGTTTCTTTAGCATCTAATATCATATTAGGGCTCTAATCCTCTGGTCTTTTTATCAGACTTTTATAATTACATGGAGCAGAGAATGAGAAGGTGGAAAACCAAATGAAATTGATTCTGGTATTTCCACTACAAGGATGGTGTAGGTGTTTGGGGGTAGGAAGTGAAGTGCACCAGCTTCTCGAACACTGAGTAGCTATGCTGGTGCAATAATTGAAGACTGAGAAGGAGAAGAATGTTCCAGTGCAAGTCTGAGTGATATTGAGGTATCAGTGGAATTTGGTCTAGACAGGAGAACACTTCCATATTTACACTGTCACATCTCGAGAGGTGTGGCAATCAGAAATGTTTCACGATCCCCAGTGGCTGCCATGTAGTTTTGTGGTTCTGCTGATGGCAACTACTCAAGTTTTAAATGGGTTATAGTGATGTTTGTGCTTTTGCAGTGGGGGAGAATATAGATGTAATAAAAGACCCTCTCATTTTTGCATTTCTGTTCAACATGACTCAGCTGGATGGAAGAGAAAGATTGGCTTCAACTTTTCACTTCTGAATTTATCCTTAGGGACTTGTGGATCTGTGTGTGTGGAGGCTGCCTCTCTTTTCCCTTACTTGTAATGCAAACTTTATAGTAACAAATTCCACATTAAATGTTCACAATAAAAAAGACTCCTAGGAATCTTTCTTAAGTCAGGTTTTACATGTTTGAAAACGCTTTTACAACACAAAGCAATTCTTAATGCTGCCCTTGCTGAGTAGCCAGAGATTCCTTTGGTTGCATACCCAACGTACTGGTTGGGTATACATGCAAGGACGTCTGGAATACACAATGCTGTGATAACATCTGGAGTTTGTAGAGTGGGAATCTTGGTAAGGAGGTTTCCAATTCTATGAGGAGATAAATCACCCTCTATATAGCCTTGGGGTTTTGGAGAAGAAAATATTCTTGTAAGGATGACACCTCTACTTCTCAGCTGGGAGAAGCAGAGCTTCTGGCACAGCAAAGAACTGAATCTTTATCTTCCCTGTTTGTTATCAAAATAGCTGTGGTATGACCCACAAATTGAACATGAAACGACAAGTCTGCTTGCGAAAACTAATGCAAACTGAGTTAATTGCCATTCTTTTGTATATATTATATCCAACGATCCAACTCTCCATTGTCCTCCACAGCCTGCAGCTATTATACACCGTAAAAGTTCAGTGTAGGGGACATGTGCATGCAAATCTGTTTAAAAACTCCTATTTTTCTCCATTAATTGGTAAAGATAGTTAGGACCTTTATAACTGCTCCGATCTGGTATTCACTCTTACAGGTTACAAAGTATTTTTAATTATGGTGGTAATATTTTAATGAGACCATCAGTGCCTCAAGCCAATACCATAACCCAGTTGTTTGACATGCTGGGATGACAAGCATCTGTTATAATGTGCAACCTTGCTAATGGGAGATTCACGCTAATGAGGGGAAACCATGGGTGTCTACGGGGCGAGTGTAGCAGTCCCATTTGACCCTTTGTTCCCATTTCCAAGAACGAAGGCATAA